TCTCGACCTCAATTTTTAAAGCAATATAATACTTTCTCTATACTACTACGCATACGTGAAAGTAAAAACCGGTCTTCGATTACAACATAGCAAGTGCTGCGGCTGCTACTGGAGGCGGGCAGCGACGCGAATGCCCAGTGCAACGAAGGTCGCACGGCGCTTCACCAGAGCGCCGCCAGGGGCGACGCTGATGCCGTGCGCGTGCTCATAGCGGCCGGCGCCCGAACCGACGTCAAGGACAGTCACGAGAATACGGCGTTCGAGCTCACGTCTTCGCCTTCCATTAAGCGCCTTCTCTCTCCCAGCTGAAGCACTTGGATCGGCGGCCTCTCGCCGCCGAAAATGTTTCTAATCCAAACTGCAATTTAAGATTTGAGTTGAAAGGAGTGATTGTCTTAATATTAAATACTGTGGAAATGTAAATAAAAGTTGTTGTTTGGCGTGCATTGTTGACGAGGAGGTCCTTATTTCATCATAACTAGGGCTCGCATGTTTATGAATTGTCAATTTTTTCTGTGCGTTATTTCAGTAGAAAATTTCAGTAGAAAAAAGTCGAGCATATCTGCAGTAACTCAAATTATGTAATATTTACGTTCATATAGTTATATTTTGGAATTTTTTTAAAAGCCTTTTGTTATTTTCAGATAATATTTCATATTACGGTCACATTCTTCCATGAAGTTTTGTACTTTTGTTACATTCTTATCTTTTTCATTCCATTTTCACATTCTGGCCTGGAGTTGTCTCAAAGAGAAAATTCAAATCTCCTATTTGTAGTTTATCACAATTATATCTAACTTTCACAAAAATATATATTTATATAAATTATGAGGGTTAGGTATATAAAAGAAGACAGTTACATAGAAAGCACCAGATGCGAAGGAAGCGTTTGTTTAGTTTTGTGCCAAGGTCAACAGCTTCTATAAAACACTTTAGCACCGAGAATTGGCCCATATTCTGCAGAAAGGAACCGACCCTGAAATTTTCAACATAAGTTAATGTTAGTTAGTATTATATCTTACGTACCACTCTATGTCGTAGAAATTATCCAAGCATCTACCCGCTTATCCCATATATGAAATGTTTTCGAAAACTGAATGAATATGCCACATTTCCCTTTCTGCGGAAAGAATTAAGGTAGTATGGTTATTTTCAGCAGAAAATTAGTTCTGATTTATTACTAGACCCCGGATTTTGGGACGAATACATATTCAGTTCCTATAGGTGGTTGTGGCAAATAATTGATGATGTTAACGAATCATGAAAAAATAGATATTCTGGAAGCATCTAATAATGCCTAAAATGTCCTAAAACGGCGGTCGATGCCTAGTCTAATATTCCCCCCCCCTAAATCTGCCTAAAACAAGTAATTTTGACGAATTATATTTTAATTACTATATATTTGCAAATGTGTTTTATCGAAAAGACTTTACAGAATTTCCCGATACGTGAATATTGCCTGGTCTAATACGCATTGCTCTATGCGACGATATCTCTCACCCTACACCAAATATAGGGAGCTCTGCACCTCTAAAGATGTTTCTAAATGTATAGATGCTCCATGCTTGTCTCCGATCCGCCCGCACGTTTTAGGCAATTGCATCCATTCCCAATGCAGATGTGCGGTTGATAGACTGAGAACGAAAATTGTGAAAAAATGAATGAAATGAAAATGAAAATATAATATATTGTAATCATTTACATAAATGCCTGAAAATAAAAAAAAAGTAAACACTCTCATTAGTAAAAGTTCTTCCTTTCCTTAAAAATAAAAATGCTTAATTTAATTCTTTTGTGATCAGTTTGAGATGCCAGAAACATAACTTTTCATATTTAATGTTTTTAAAGGCATGGATTAATCATTTTGTAATGTAATGAAAGTGCCTCAAACGTCACTTTTCATCTCTGATAGTGCCTAATTTTATAATTTTGTTACCTATTTTAGATGCCTAAATCATCACTTTTTTGGCCTTAATTCCTAAGTCTATTTATAACAAATGATTCAAATGATAACGAACAGAAATGTGGATATAAATAACGAGAAAACTTCCTGGTTGCAGACACACGAAATAGTACTAGAAAAAGAGAAACAATACTCCATTTTCGTCAGGGAATGATTTGCAGGGAACTTTTATAAGATTAACGTCAAAAAATGAAAAAGTGATCGGGCATCTTCAAATCTTTTTGAGAATAATTTGTCATCGTTGTGTCAATGGAAAGCCAATACCAGCCTCAAAACATGAGGACATAAAATGGACATTATTTCCATGAGATGCTCGAGTCTTCTACACAGCTTTGCTAGGAGATAAGAATGTGGAATATGATGTCGATTTTCTTTTTTTTTTTTTAAATTGAATAATTGACGTATTGATAAGGTAACAACAGTTGTCTGTGTATATATTAATAATATGATAAATAAATAAAGATATTGTCAGGTAAAAATATTGATACCTGACAATATCTTCATTTATTTATCATAATAAAAAGGTATCTACCTCACCAACAATCCAATTAATATTAATAATAATTATTGAGACATACGAATAAACTAATGTTGTTGAATCGTAAAACAAATTGCTTGATTCAGTACAGTAGAAATGATTTTGATCCATCTACCATTCTCCGTATAGGAACCATGCTGATTGTTGAAGTAATCAATTCATTCATATTTTTATTTATATTTTTTTAAATTAGCAATTCTCTTTATTTCAATTTTTCAATTATGTTCTTTGTGGCTTGGTTCCATTCTAATGATGTCTAATTGTCATCATGGGGCGCCAAAAGAGAAAGGAGTTATAGGAAGGTGCAGCGAGTCCAGTTACTGGACAGATTTCCGTGTTTGTATTTCATCAGGAATATTCTCAGTTCATTAAGCCTAAATCTAACGGTTCAATAAGTGAAAAACTGCGAGTATTTGTGCGGTAGTTTGGAGATAACCGTTTCAGTGAAACCGGTACTGTTATGTTATGTAAACCGTGATAAAATAAAATACGAAGTACTTCGAAAGAGAAGAAAGTAAAAAGGAGCTAAAACGCGGTTTAATGTTGAACAACATTGCAATAAAGTAAAACATAAAACCAATTTGAGTCGAAATGTCATGACACTGAACCGTCAACAGCGCCTCTTCCATAGAATTTCATCACCGCATATGACAAGCAAAACTTAATAATTTAACAAGAATTTATGTACGATAATGATGGACGCTGATATGCCTCTGGAGAAAGTTAATAATAGCACTTCAGCCATTTTTTTGAAAGTACCTTAATCTGCATATTCCAAATGCAACAACACTTCGCTAGAACGACGTGACTACATGTTACAAAGTTGTTTTAAAAATAAGACGTTTTGTCCTGCGTCTCGTTTGGTTTTCTATGATGAAACCACCAACACTGCAGGGAGATACATAGCAAACGCTGTTGTGGTGGTTTAAGGGGAGACCGAGCAGCGGATAAATTTCTCATTTTCTGTGAAGCAGAGGGCAGAACTAACCACTAAACAATTGCTGTTAACCTTCGAGAACGCAATGAATCTTTAGTGGCCTGTAGGAATGAAGAGAGAAAATGTTCTACTTCTAGTCACTGATGCAACCCCTTACAAGGAGAAAGCTGGCAAAGGTCTGCAGCTACTCCACCCTAAATGGTACTTGTAACATGCATTGCTTATTCACTAAAAAGAGTTGCGGAAGAAATTTGCGGAATTCATCCTGATGTAGATAAGTTAATTTTGGTAGTGAAGCGAATCTTCATCAAAGCTCCATTACGAGAGCAAAATTTCAAGGAAATTGTTTCTTTGGTACCATTGCCTGCCCAACCTATTTACAAACTTTGGGGCACGTGGTTTATCATAGATAATACCGCGAGTGCTTTCGAAATTGTTTATGAATTCCCGACTCTCGAAGCGAGGAGGGGATTTATTTGAGGTTATGCTGTTGTACATACGTCGTTTATTGAACATCGACATAGTGATCGATGTATGAGGCCTACAAAGATAGATGAGTCACAATTTATCATTGCTCAGTAGGTAGAAGCGGTAAGAAAAATTCAAAATACACTGCCCTGATTGGGGCATTTTGTATGCATAGTTAAACACTATTGACTTTAATTTCATCATGTCACCGCAAAATACTACTTTACCGATTACAAAGCTATCAAAGTTGTTAATGCATTCAATGAAGGGATCTGGAATTTGACGTTTATGGAATATTTCTCTCACCCGAAATTCTGAGTGGGTATTTTACCTTTTCGGAATTTTTCGTGAGTGGGTATAGCTACCCACCATACCCACATTAACTGCCGGGCCAGTTAAGTGGAATATTTGGTAACCACTCGCCTCCTGAATCTCGTAACATGATCCAGCACTGATGGCTGAAGCAACCTCC